TGCATGCAGCACACTTCAATTACATAAATTTGGTTAGTTATCAACATCTACTTATTTATCGAATTTTAAATGTGCTACTAAGTAAAATAATATATGGCATATTTTGAGACTGTAGGATGTTAATCAGTTCCTCTTTCTGAAATGTTAGAGTTTTACCTTTCCAATAAATCAGGTTTTCAATACATTCCTTTTGGGAATTCAGTGGCAGTAAAACAAAATGCAAAATCAGCAAATTATTAAAATACTGATGTAATAACTCAGAGCTGAGCAACTAATGAGCTGTAAAGTTCACTTCTAAAAGCAGGATACTATATACATTAAACATACACACAATATTCTCTCTCTTCACTATAAACATTAATTTAGATTTGGAAGCCAAGCCATGTGAAATATAAAAAAAACTCTCAGATTTGGAATGCGATGGTTTCAGGACCAGTTTTCTGGTGTAATACACAGTAATTCATGGATGCAACTTTGCCAAATTTTAAATTGAATGCATTTTTAGTATAATACTTCAATTATAAATGACGTGACTAAGGGATAAACAGGACTTTGAGGGCTATTTTCAATTAAACATACACTGCTCCTTTTCACACTGTAAAGTACTTTCACACTGAAAATAATTTAATGCAAAAAATATTTTAAATAGAAGTAAGATATTGTAAAAGATAGAGAATTCACTTATTTAATGTTAGCAGTACTACTTCAGGAAAAAAAACTCCTATCTACCATGGTTGTATCATATTCATTATGGTTTGGTGAGTAGTAGGGGTGTGTGAAATTGGCCCAAATCAGGGACAGTGATTCAATTCGTTGATTCGGATCACTGTCCCCAATTCGATTCGGCTGAATCCGATTCTGAAGATTCAATGCTGATTTGAAGAATCAGCGATTCGGACATAGACACAGCTTTAAATGTTTTCTCTACACACCTTGAGGTACCAGGCATGGCTCATGAATGCTGCAATGCTGGGGTGGATGGAACATCTCACAGGAGCGTGTTCGTCGGTGAACCCAGAAGTGGACTGGAAGTACTCCGCTGGGGAGTGCGCTGGCCCCCCCCCGGCTTGGCAGTCGGTCATGGGGGGACTCTAGGTGCCCTCCCAGGCCCAGGAGGCACCAGTCACCGAGCCAGGGGTGTGGGCCCTGCCCTACCCACACTCTACCGTAGACTCGGAAGTGGACTGGAAGTGCTTCTGGTCCACTTCTGGATCTGCTGCCAACCACACTGGGGAGCCCCCCGCACTCCTGTGAGACACTCAATGGGCCCCAGCATCACAGCATTCATGAGCCGGCTGCTACCTAGAGGGATATAGAAAAAACATTTAAAGCTGTGTCTACGTCTGAATCGCCGAATGTTTCCAAATCTCTCCGAATCAATTCAGAGGGTTTCAACTCCATTCGGAGGGATAAAAGGGTCCTCTGATTCGATTTGGAGATTGGGCCACCAAATTGGGCCGAATCTCCATCGAATCAAAATCAGGGACCGAAGCTTTGCACAGCCCTAGTGAGTAGCTTTTTAAATCCTCTCTTTAAGCATAATTGGAAAAGATAAACACTGCAGTTTATGACTATAAATCAAGTGTAGATGCTAGCAAATATCTTTTTTCCCCATAAACTGGTCACTTATTTGTAGTGCCAAAAATTCTAAGCAGAATTGAATCTCAGTTGCGATGAGTGCCATATAAAATATACAAGCAGACATGGTCACTGACTCCAGGAGCATCAGCTTTTAGGTTTTATCTAGGGCTTTCTTCAAATGGAAACAACCACCTGTTTTTATTATATTGGTATCTAAACGCTAAACCAAGATGTTGTTGAAAGGTATGGTATCATTTTTCAGACATAAGTGCAGTTATATATCTTTTAAAAATATAATTTTAAACTAAAACCTCTTAAACATGTCTCTACAATAAAGTAACGTACTTTGGGAAAATATCAAATTTCACAAGATACAGAAGTAGCAAAAATACTGCAAGCATATGAAAATAATTAAACAGTGAACAAAGAGCTAGGGAAAACATTTGTCAGTTTGTATAATGTGACTCCCCTTTAGCAATTAAGTTGGGTGCATGCTTGAACAAACAGATTTTAAACAGACCTCAACATTTTTAGTAGCACACTTCTATAAAAAATGGAAAGAAGAAAGACCTAGCAACAAGCCACACCTTAAAATAAAGAGTGTATTGATCTTGAAAGCAGTGTGAGGAGTGGGAGAGAGAGAAGAGGAAATCAGCCTTCTATTTTAGACGTATGTTCTACAGATAAGAGATAATTACTTACCAGTAATTGCTGTTCTCTGAAGATATGCAATAACTTTAATACATCACTGTCGAGTCTATGTTCCCTGTTTACTACTGGCAGGAACAGACAGCTTAATATTCTAAAGACTGCCTCCAGCAAGGGGCATCACTTGCCAATCCGGTAGTGAAATCATAGTGACACTCAGGCCTTGGCCACTAAAAAGTGCCTCAGCACAAGTGCAGTCCTCTACCTGGATCACCACAAATTCACCTCAGGGGCCTATGTCCAGCTCATTTACTCCCCCTACACCCATGCTGCCATCACCAGCATCAGCTGGACGCAGTAGTGACAGAGAGGCAGATGGAGCAAGCTCTCCTCATTCTTACCACTCTCATGGGCAGCAGAGAGCTGTGCTTGACTGACATGACTGCAGCTGTGGTTCTAACCCTTGGTCCTACAAAAGCAATATTCAAAGACAGCCTCCAGCCAGCAGTGAGAGTAGCAGAGCTGTTTCTCCTGCTGCTCATATCCAGAGCTCCTTCTGCTCCAGAGGGGAACAGAGGCAGCAGCAGGCAGGTTCTTCCTCTCTGCCTGGTTTCCCTGAGCATTCCCTGCCAACATAGGGAGGGGGAACCTGCCCACCACTGCCACTATCCCCTGCTTCCCTGGCTGGAGCATGGCAGAGGCAGCTCTGGAGTTCCCCACTCTCCATCAGCTGGGGACAGCGGCAGCAGCAGGTGGTAGGGTGGGGAATTGGAGGGGATGGGACATGCTACTACGGATGGAGGTGGAAGAAAGGGGAGATATTATTACCTGCTTTGGGAACTGCTGTTCCAATGGTGTAGACAGAACAGTACCACAGCATACCCTCAGGATCTGCCCCTGCCAGGTGCTGGGCGCTGTGTGGCCCCCAGAGGGCTTTGTGCTCTGGGGGCCTGCCAAGATTTCTGCAGCTTTTCAACCCCTGCTTTAAAAGCTGCACTGTCAACCTTACTTTCCTGCTAGAGACCCTGTGCTTCAGGGACCCAGGCTTGTTTGGGGCAAGGGAGAGGAATGGAGGGGTTGCAAAGGCCTGGGGGGCTTGCCTCCCCCTCTCTCCAAATGAACCTGGCACCCCAGAGTACAGGGTCTCTAGCAGGGAAGTGAAACTAGCAGTGCGGTTTTTAAGGCAGGGGCTAAAAAGCGGTGGAAATCTTGGGGGCCCCCCTCAGAGCATACAGTCCCCTGGGAAACACAAGCAGAGAACCACAGCCCCCTAGCACTCCTCCACTCATTTCTAGTGGCGTTTTAGCAGCAGTGCAGTCCTTAAAAGGTGAGGATTCTATGTGTGGGCACTTCTGCCCAGGGACAATTGTGAACAAGTTCTCAGATCAGGAACAACCTTGTTATGTCTGTCCACTCAATCTCAGGACCTATCAGATAATATTTTGTTTTCCTAACAAATAGGAGACAGCAATAATTTTCATACAGCCTTTATCATTTCAATGATATGAAACTGAATTCTTCAAGGGCAGTGTGTATAAACTTTGGAATAACTCAGATCAGAATTACTTGGCTAGGGATTATGCACTGATTACACTTCGTTCATAAATCAGATATTAAACCTTGAGACTAGAGCTGGACATGTCTCCTTTTCATCAGAACATGATGATTTTTCAAAAGTCAAAATATTCTTGCTGAAGTGTCAATTCTGATAAAAACTCCTTCTGCAAATTGTAATTTTTTAATATTTCTTTGTGAACATCAGAACAGAAACGTGCTGATTTTCTACCATGAAGCCATTGTTATATCTGTTTTTAAACATTCTAATGCAGTAAGTCAAAATCAGAATTAAATACTTCTTTGAAATCAAATACATTTTTTTCAAAGTTTTGTTCTGTAGGAAATTTAACATAGAACATCATTTTAAAATCACTGCATTTTTCACAAGATGAAAAAGCAAGATGAATATTTGTTATTTTAAACTTTGAAGCTTTCCCCCACTGACTTAGTTACTGATTTACAGAATATATCAGTGGAGACCAAGACAGCCCTCAGAAACTCGTCCCATAACCAGTTAGCCTGCAGCAATTTCTAATAGGTGGCCTATTCTGAAATAAGCCGGGTATGTTTGCTTGTGATTATTATCACACAAGGGCACTGGAAGCTATTGGAATACTTTTTGTTTCTTTCTTTATATCCAGAAAAGAAAGGGATAAGAGAGAAAAAAAAGTGAGATGTTAAAACTTAAGACTAGAATTTTACAAACTATCACTTCAGCAAACTATGGCTTTGTGAGGCACCACTCTTCAATAAACCCCTCAGTGTTCAAAGTCTCTGAGGTGACTAGAAAGATCAATTTTCTATTTTACACCATCCTGGAAGGCACTATTATAAAAGGATATTTGTGGAGCAATGGATTTTTAAAAAAAATGAGAAGTTGTCAAAGTGACACGACAAGACTGCAGGAACATTGCAGTGAATGGCAAAGTAGAAAAGAGTAGCCCCCAGGGAACATCTCCAGTCAGCAGTTAAGAAAGGAATTAATGGTTAGAGGCTGCATGGTTTGTTGCTGCTCCACTGTAGCAATGGTATGTAATGATTCATCCTGGACCCAGTGCCTTTGGAACTTCAAACCATTGCAGGAGCCCACCAGTCTTATACTAGAAGTTCAGACCTGAGAGTCAGAATTTTACACGTCGTGTATCTTTGGAAAACCTTGTTCTTTTCAGGCTTTCTACCACCTTACCCCCCAAAACGATTTCCCAATAACTTACCTCTGGGTACTTTAATTTCAACGTTTTATGCATTTCTCGGAAACGGCTGTACCGCCTGAATACTGTCCACGTTTCATCCAAGACTGTTATCTACGGTATCCAGAAAAAACAAATCGACACGCACTCACATGATTTGTACCACTAAAAAGAATGCAGCAAAAAGATTTCTATATAACTATATAAAACAAGTAGCATTAATTTCTTTAAATGCAACACCATTTTGGTAGGGCTTACTTACTTTTTCTTTTATTAAAGCAGCAGAATAGATCAAATAAAAAAGCAAAAGATCACTAAATGAGATAATTACTTAGTTTCACAGTTAACAAGTCGTTAAGCTGCGGGGGCAGCAGCCCCGGGCTGGCAGGCTAAATCCTGGGGCCCCCTGCCAGCCAGGGCTGCTCCAACTTGACTCAACTTGCTGTGGTCCCAGGTGCATTTGCAAACGGTGTGCCGGTGGGCAACACACTCCAGAGCAATAAACCCTGGAGTTTATTGCTTCGCGTTAACTGTACATGTAGACGTGTCCAATGATGAGCACCCTACTTCTAGGAATACTTTCATTAAAAACAATGGAACTACTGCAGTGAGTGAATAACTATTTTGTTAAGTAGTGAAAAGCTTTCTATTAATGCAAAATAATTGTCCAGTTCAAATAAGAGATTTCAGGTATACATCATCAAATAAAGTGGATTTTGTGGCCCACAGTCATTGATAGATATTCAAAAATTCTTTACATATCTACATCTAGATATACAACACCGATATTCAATCTATTAAAGTGATTTGAAAGCTACATCAATACAACTTTTGTCTTCATGTAAGCACAGAAATCAAAAGCAGATATTTCAATACAATTTAATTGAAGAAGATCTGAGTTCGGCTTTTAGCAAAGGTGGATCCAGGATTTTGTAAAAGGAGTGACAACTGGTGCTACAAGGGTGGCTGCAACCCCACTTCCAGCCTCTCTTCCACCTCCAGGGTGGGCTGACTACACCTCAGGAGCAGTACTGGGGACATTTTTCAAATCTCTGAAGCAAATAAGAATATCCCCCCAGCTGACTTACTGCCTCCATTCTCCTCCATACTTAGTAACAGCTATCTTCCCCTGCACCCCTCTCCCTGTTTCTAATTATGCCTCTGGGTGCAGGGAGATATGACTACTGCCCTGGCTCCTCCTGCCCACTCTAGCTGGGGCAGTAAGGAGCAGCTATGTGAGAAGCTGGGTTCAGCCAAGTTCTTTCTTCTTCCTTTTATCCTAGGCTGGCAGGGAACACCCAGGGGATTGGACAGGAAGGAGGAACCTGCCCACTGCCGCTGCTTCTGTTGTTCCCAGTTGAGTCTGGCTTCCTGTGCAGTCCAGATGGAGCAGGGCAGAAGCAGCTCTGGGGTCCCCTGCCCCACCGGGTCAGCTGAGGACAAGGACAGCAGTAGGCAAGGGAGGGGGGAATGGGACAGGACGGGAGGTGCTGCTGAGCATAGAGAAGAAAGCAGGCTGTACCAAAAATAGTAGTAGGGGGATCTGGGGAGGAGATTCTCACTTGCTTTGGGAACTTAAAATCCCTGTCTGCTGCCCCCAGTGTAGTCCAAAAGATGATGTTTGACTGTGTCATTGTACTGCCTCAAGATCAACCCCTGACTTTTAGTTTCCAGGTAAATGAATTGAGAATAGAAAGAAGTTATGAACATGTGTTGTACAATATTAGGGATGAGAAAAAAAAGTAAGTAAATATAAATACATTGATTTCCTCAAAGGTTCACCTCTTGTATTAATCAAGTTAAGAATCTGGGTTTCCAACTTTTAAGACGCAAATGTATTATCATACTGTCCTTTTTAAAGGTTTATTTGCTGTATTAATTATATTTTATAATTGTTCGGAAATTACTTTTGCTTTTCAACATGTCAATTTAAAAAAACTGTAGTTTTGGAGGTGAATTCTAGCCCAAAGCATTCACAGCTTTCTACAAACATGACTAGTGAAACAGCATGGATGTCAATCTACCAAAGAATTCTGCTCTGCATCTGACAGGTGTATAGGTCCCAGGGCAATGCAAAGTTCATATAAAACTTACTTATCACCTCTGTCCTGTGAGATTTAACCAAAGCTCAATGATTGTAATAACTGCCTCATTTGGCACTAGATAGGGTTGAGTTGAATAGGATGAAAAAATAAAAAGCTACACCGGACAATGCTAAGAAATTTTCTCCAAAAGTACTTTAGTGGGTGAGGACAGTTTGGTCTCAGCCTTATAGCTGTTTTTTTCCCCTGGTCAATCTCAAGAATAAACCCCGAGGCCAGCCAAAGTCCATAATTTTGGATCATTTCTACTTTAAAATCCTTTCTTGCCTAATTGCTGTTTTGTCAGCCAGGCTATACTACATCCTCCACTTCCTGGACGATGATACTTTATATGGGTCAATTTCAATGCTTGGCAAAATCCTTACATTCCCAAAAGTTCACAAACAGAAAAAGGATTGTAATGGAAAATGAAGCAGAGTTTAAATAGCCTCTAAAAAGGAAGACCTGATCCAACCATGTAGTCAATGGGAGCTGTTTCATTTATTTAAATGAATATGAATTGGCCTAAATTCCATGGCTATATATCCCTCAAACCTGCATACCTTCCCTTAAGCAAGAGAGGGAAATTAAATTTGGGATTACCCTTTTTGAATTACTGTAAGAAATTAAAAATTATTTTTGACACACAGACTGAATCCATATGCAGAGGTTAGAAGTAAAATTTTCAAAATTAGCATTGACTGCTAGCATAGAATAGTTGTCACCTCCCTCTGGTGCTTTTTAAATATTACAGCTTGTTCCTCAGCAGTTTATTTTAAAACTATTTTATATTATGAGTGTTAATATCTGAATATAGACTATTGCACATAATGTATTTTTCTACAACATTTTAACACATTTGTATTAACATTGTGACATTAATTCAATGCTAAATATGGATTTGATATGCAAAACAAAAGCTGTTACAGTATATCAAATCAAACATAATAAAAATATTCATGTTATCGAATAAACCAGAATTGTGTTTTCTTTCTTCTCTAAATTAAAAAGGGATGTTTCCTATCTTAAAAATTAAATTTCTGCAGTGAAGATACGGCAGTCTGGACCACTGAACTTTTTGTCTGCTCAGTGACTGATAAGATGATATAATCAACACATCCAACTGATATCCGCCTGAGGCACTCAAAAGAAAACTCTAGTTAATATTTGAGTTTGTTCAGGGTTATATATATATATATATATATATATATGTGTGTGTGTGTGTGTGTGTTTCAGGGGTGTGTGTATGTGCAAATAACAAACACAAAATAAAATAACTGTGTTCTATCCTAAAATAATCAGAAAGAAAAGTAAATCTCTTGGTTATACTTGTTACCTCAAATACATATATACTTGAATACCTCAAACAGTCTCTCTCAAACAACAGACTAACAAACTCCCATCCTCACCAAGCCACAGGCTTTGCAATGAACCCAAATGCCTGCTGTGACCTCACTTCAATACAGCGCACATAATCACTGTACCCAATGTGCGGGCCGGGAGCAGTCCGAGGCCCTCGGGGGTTTTTCACGCGGCAGGCTGTGGCCAACAGCCCGGACACGCCGGGTCGGGGAAGACAGGTGGCACACTAGAATTAGGCACAGACGCTTAGTGGTTGTTTAAGATTGTTTACTTACACCGTAGATGGTTGTGGTGTAGGCTGGAAAGACTTACAGGAAAAGCTTCGCTTAAGTCCCAGTTTCAAGGACTCTGACCTGGGTAGAGCTCTGGATTCACTCACACGAAGTTTGCTAGGCTCCGTGGAACTTGCGCGCAGGGAAGGGGTTCATCGAGGGATCGTTCGGCGACGGGGAGAGGCCAGAGGTTGATCAGACCTCTATAGCCAGCTCTAAGGCACACGCGTTGGGTCTGATAGGCTCCGCAGCGCGCCTAGAGTTCTCCTCAAGATGTTTACGGAGTCCCCCCTTACAGGGTTATCCTCCGGAGATCTCCAACTTGGGTGGAAACCACTCAAGCCTCTTATACGGCTAGCCAGCCAATCGCTAACCGCCACATAGGAAAAATTTCTGACCAATAGTGGGGCACGAATCTGAATACAAATGGCGGGAACTCCTTGCAACGTGCATTTCTATGTTGCAACGAAGAAATGCACCCTGCAAAGAAAGCTACGAGTGGTGGGAAATAATTTAGCAGTGCCGAAGCGCACACAAACAAAAATCACACCCTTGGGTTGTGACACCCAATAACAAGGAGTACAACATTCAAGGTTCATTCACCTCCAACTCTACCAAGGTCATGTATGTTGTTGACATCTTACAATGCTCATCAGACAGAGTGATCTCTACATGTAAAAATGAATGAACCCTGATCTATCATCAGCTGCAGAAAGACACAAAAGCCTGTGGCAAAACACTCCAACCTCCCTGGATACACCATCGCTCACCTCAGGTTTGCTGTTCTCAGGCAGAAAAATTTGAAAAACCAGTGTGAGGGATGAATAGGAAATTGTGGAACAGGAAATCATCCACAAACTGGACTGTGTTAAGTATGGTTTAAACATGGACCACAGGTTCTTATCTCATGACCTGGATTAGCTTTTGTGACCCCTTTATTTCTATGGGTTTAACAAATTTTGCTTTCTGTTAGCATAGCCCCCTCCCCCCAAGCCCCCCTCCTTTGCCTTTTGTATTCTAATTTCGCTCTCCTTCTCATACTCTGCTTTCTGCATGGTCTTTCACAGCATCTGATGAAGTGAGCTTCAGCTCACAAAAGCTTGTGCTCTCTCTCTACATATCTCATTTACTTAGTCTATAAAGGTGCATATCTACTTTGCTTTATACTTGTTAAACCACAGGGGAAGTACTGTCAGATGACACCATGCAAACAGCAGTTGTCAAATTACCCAATGTGCTCTCTTGCAGACTGTTTTTTGTTGTTGTTGCAAAATTTAGTGATAAATAAGGTTTTACAAATGTTATGTCTGCTGGCATTCTAGAACCATGTCAGCTAGTTAGGGATGCTAAATCACTCAAAGAATTATCGACTTACTTGGGGTTGCAAAATCTTTACAAC